CCCGCAACGTCGGACACGGAAAGAAAAAATATGGGCGTGCAGGGCTTTTTCAGCCCTGCACGCCCTTTTTTTTTTTTTTTTTTTGTGCGCTAAAATATTTTTAAAAAAATGCTGCACCATACTTGGCTGGTCGGCCGTGGCCGAACCCGGCCGATTCGGCCGCCGGCCTTGACCGCGGCCGATTTTTCGTCTTCGGTCATGACCGGGCGTGCAACATAGGGCCTCGTTAGACACTCCTTGTAGACCCGAAATCCACAAAATGATCATTCCACCTGTCCTTGGGGACGATTCTCGAAAAAAAAAGTGAAAACACCAGAAGGAGATTTCCTTGTGGCGTCCTTGTGGCCACAACCAATTTTTCCTAACCCCCAAGGGACCTCCCGAGGTCCCTCGGAGCACAAGGAAGCGCGAATTTCGGAGCGGCGAAGGCATGCGTCAACGCACAATTTCGGTTCGAGGGTGGTCCAGAAGTGGTCCAGCGAACCGGAGCACGGACATCCCTGCGTCCAAAATCTGCACAGCGCCCCAACGGCTCCAAACGGTAACCGGCGGCGTGAGGCCTCCATCCGTCGACGCGAATTGCCGGCCGGCGTCCACTGTGTCTGCTGCGGCGGGCGATCGTCGACAACAGTCCGAAATTCGAATGCTTTTCGCACCCGGCGCCCCTTTCGAGGACGACAGTCTCATTGGACAAGATCGTCGTTTTCTTCGATTGTCGTCACGCCTCGCACGTTGGAGCACAGAACTTCCACCGATCTTTCTTGTGTCGACGGGCTTCTTCGTTGAACGGTTGACCGCCAACGTCACACGGAAGCCCTTCGAACGGCCCTTACATGGCCGACCTGCTGCACAGGCTGCCTCTGCTGGTCCTCGTCGTCGTGCTGCTTCTCGTCGTTGTCTTCTTCCACATGTGTTTTGTCGGCCTCGTCCCGCTCGCAGCTCGCAGAAGGAGATCTTCGAAGAAAGCCGATAGGATGGATCGATGACTGGGCAACGGTAGACCGGCAGGCACAACCTCCAAAGCGAGCAATCGGCAACGCAGTGCAGGGTCTGTGGCGAAGCAGCCGTACGACCCGAGGTTGTATGCACACCTGCCTTCTCACGAGATTCCTCTGCCACCGTCGGATGACGAGGGGAGAGATGCCAGGTCGTCGACTTTGCTGTTGGGAAGTGGTTCGACGCAGGAATGGGCGGTGACGCAGTCGTACGGCAGCAGGCGGGTGGAGACCCCGTGGTCTTACACGAACGAGGGGTTGTGCGACGACGACGGCAATGCAGCGGTTGATCTCAGCTTCCAGTTGTCCAGCAGCAGTGGAGCAGCGGCAACGCACACTCGGATCATCAATCCCCACGCGGGTTGGGATTGCGCGGACAACACGCACGGTGGTGTCTGCGGGCCGCGAGACGGCGGTCTGCCTCAATCGCTTCGTGAAGGTGGTGGTAATCGGAATGATTCGACGACGATCGTCGGAGGAGGAGTCGGTGCGCGTGAACGTCCGGAGTGGATGTTGTTGTCACCTGCTTCACGAACCGGATCCGGCGCTCCTCCTGGACGGCAGCGGCCGGAGGATTTACGTGAGGGAGGTGCGGACGTGCACCACGACAGCAGGCAGCTGTGGGCAGAGTGGAGGCAGGCCTTGCATCAACGTGGAACGAAGACAATCACGAGAGGGGTGCAACGGCTCCACGTGGACGAAGGGGACGAAGCGGCTGTTGAGGAGGCCCAGGGGTGGGACGACGTTGACGGTGACGACGATTGCAACTCCGACGATTTGCCAGACATTAGGCCGCTTGGGAGGAAGGCGACGAACGGTGGAGCGAGTGCGAGGAAGGGTCCCGCTACGAAAACTCGACGGAGCAAGAAAATGGATGACGACATAGGCCGGAGCGATGGCGAGGGCGGATAAAATTTCTGGTCAGTCGGAGACACGATCGCACTCGTCAGGGCAAAAAGGGATCAGGATCTGTATATCCCCGGCATGGGCACCAATTTCGCCCGCATGAAAACGACGGAGTGGAAGTGGGAGGACGTGCGGGCGAGGTTGCAGACGATGGGCGTGACGAGGGAGGTCGTCGACTGCGGGAAGAAATGGGACAAGTTGATGCAGCAATTCAAGAAGGTCCACAAGTTCTAGAACCTCTCCGGCGGGAAGGACTACTTCAAGCTTGGTTCAAAGGCCAAGCAACCGGAGGGCTTCAGCTTCGTCATGGACCGGAGCGTGTACGACGAAATGGAGGCCATGACGAAGGGGGATCACACGACCCACCCGAAAAATTTGGCGGACATGGGGGGCGGCCGGTGGGGTTCAGATGCCGGCAGGCGCGGGGGCTGGAGGGGACACCATGGCCAGTGAGGGTGGAGGGGAGGCAGCCGACGAGGAGCAAGGGTCGACGAAAGACTCCACATTCAGCGCAGGGATCGGCGACGGTTATGGGAAGAGGAAGAACATGCGGCAACAAACCTTTGAGGTCGTCGCTGAGGTCATGGACAAGCATGGTGCGCTCATGGTGAGCACAATGGACAGCGCGAGCAAGCGGCAATGCTCAATGATGTTACGTCAGTGCGAAATCCTGGAGAGCGAAGTGGAAGTGCAGAGGAAACATTATGCTGCGGCGGATGAGGCGAACAGAATGATGTGCAATGCCCTTATGGAGATAGCAAAAGCCATCCGTGAGAGATCATGAGTGATGCTGGCAGTAATGTCCACCGTTGCTTTAGTGGCCTGTCTCTCTACTCGTTTCGCCTGCGAAGATGGCGACCTGCGTACATGTGTGTGTGTGTGTGTGTGTCGTCGCCAAATGCTTAGCAGTACCTTTTTTAGAATTATTATTTTTTTGAGTTGTTGCACATCGTCTTCCAGGAGCGTAGTATGTGCTACATTTGCGGTCTCCACAACGAGAGGGCCACGTGTTGAAGGGGTCATGTGGGTGGACGATTGTGCTGGGGGTGTCAACGTTCGTGTCCAGGAAATAGCGCGCTGGG